AAATGTCCTGGGTTAATCAAACAAGCCTTGTCAAAGATGCAGGCAACAAAATGAGAAGTTTTAAATATACAATATATTGAATGAAGGATTGGACACTTTTAAAACAGGAGTTTTTTTACAGATTTTTCCTTGGGTTGATTGTTGTACGAGGTGCAATGACAATAAAGTAAAGTAAACTAAACTAATAAAGATTATCTTATCCATCACAAACTCTGCAGTAAGAAAAAAGTATCTTTGACTCCATGCTGAGGAAAAAGGAATGAAAAGGTATTGTTTGCATGTGTGCCTTCAATTCAATACAGCTAATCCCCTGTATATTTAATACTTTCCTCCTTCTACCATGTTAAAATTGCAAAAATTAGTGGCAAATTTTGGAGAATCCCAAAGATAGGGAGGCAGGGGCCACCCAGAGGCTTAACTGAATCAACCTTAAAGGGGGGGTGTTAAATTAAGTAACTTAAAAGCAGTTTGTGTGGGGGACAAATTAAGGTTTGTCTATTGAACACGACAGATGAATATTTGCTGTGCTTTTTCGCCTACTTTAATTCTGTTACATGCGCTTTCATTATGAACAGCCAGTAAAAATAAAATGTATACCAACTGAAGCTTAATGAAAGACTCCATGAAATGCTTGGAAAGGTAGACTTCAGATTGCACAAGTGTGTTCAGAGTATTGCAGTGTAAATTCAGCACCAGAAAAGTAAACACAGATGACTTGGTCATTGTGTGACACAGCAAGAGTTTATATAAAATTCTTGCAATTGAGGAAGGACCTGTTGTTAGGAAGAGAAGAATAACAGAGTTGGAAGAGACCTTGTAGGTCATCTAGTCCAAGGGTAGGGAAACTTGGCTCTGTTATCACTTATGGACTTCAACTCCCAGAATTCCCGAGTAACCCATAAAAGGTTCCCCATCCCTGGCCTACTGTTTTTTCAGTTATGGGGGAAATCAATTTTTGACTTGAATGGGTTTTTCAGTTGTGGGAGAAATCAATTTTTGACTGGAATGGGACTGTTTAAAATACAAATATAGGACATATAAAGAATATGTCCTACATTTATATATTAAACAGTCCCATTCCAGTCAAAAATTGATTTCCCCCACAACTGAAAAACTAGTAGGCCAGGGATGGGGAACCTTTTATGACTCACTCAGGAATTCTGGGAGTTGAAGTCCATAAGTGATCAAAGAGCCAAGTTTCCCTACCTCTGACCTAGTCCAATCCCCTACTCAAGCAGGAGGCCTTGTTCCATTTCAGACAAATAGTTGTCCAATCTCTTCCTAGAGTTTAATTAACATTCACTGAAAACAAGAATTAGAACATAAATGTTGCAACTATATACTGTATTAAAACACAAAACTTTTGTGTTTCCAGATGGAAAAAGAAGTCCTACTTTATCAATTTATAGCATCAAGGTTGCAACTACCTATTCCTGATGACTTAGTTTGAGTTCTAATAAATGATTTTGCAGGTAGATGGATAGATTGCTAGATAGCTAGATGTATGGGTGAGGCAGAGAGATAGATAGATGATGGGTGATAGATAGATGGATAGATAGATGCATGGATCATAGATAGCTTGGATAATGGATGGATGGATGGATGATGGGTGGATGAAAGATAGGGATAGATAGCTAAAATATTGTTGGGGGCAATATGCTGACTCTGTAAACTGCTTTGAGAGGGCTGTAAAGCACTATAAAGTGGTATATAATTCTAAGTGCTATTGCTATTGCTAAATAGCTAGATGGATGGATGATAGGTGGATGGATGGATGGATGGATGGATGGATGATAGACGGATAGATAGCTAGATGACTGGATGATGGATAGATGGATGGACGGACAGACAGACAGACAGATAGATAGATAAATAGATAGATGGTGAATGGATGATAGATGCATGGATTATAGATAGCTTGAATGGATGATGGATGGATAAAAGATAGGGTTAGATAGCTAAATATTGTTGGGGCAATATGCTGACTGTAAACTGCTTTGAGAGGGCTGTAAAGCACTATAAAGTTGTATTTAATTCTAAGTGCTATTGCTAAATAGCTAGATGGATGGATGATAGATAGGTGATAGATGGATGGATAGATGGATGGATGATAGATGGATAGATAGCTAGATGATTGGATGATGGATGGATGGATGGATGGATGGATAGATAGATAGATAGATAGATAGATAGATAGATAGATGAATGGATGATAGATAAATGCATGGATCATAGATAGTTAGGATGGATGATGGATTGATGATAGATAGATAGATAGATAAATAGATGTGTGTGTGTGAGAGAGAGAGAGAGAGCACAAAATTGATTTTATGTAAAAGAGTCTTTTTCTTACCTAAGCCTAAGTTTGCCAGTAATAACTTCTCAAAATAAAAATTACAATACTTTTCTTTCAATTCAATTTTCAGAAGGAGGAGAAGTCAGCAGCTGTTCAAAGAGAAAGGAAGAAGGGGGGGAAATGAAAAGACATGTTTTTGCCTTAGCTGCCTGCAGACGAAGAGGAGAGAACATTCGCTTCCTTTCCATAGCTCCAGAAGACCCCCTGAAGGGCCATTCCTTGGAGTCAATGGCTTGTTCGTGACTAAACAAAAGATTTTAGGATTCCTTTTTTTTAATAAAATTTAAAAAAAAACACCTCTCCTCCTCTTGGGCCCCTTGCGTAAAAGGAGCCAATCAACCTGCCAAAATGATGACCTCTCGGAACAAGGGCCTGAAAGTGTTCACCCTCGCCTTACTGTTCATCATCACCATCACGTCATTCCTGCTCAACTACACCAACAACGTGGTGTCTACCTCTTGGGATCCCAAGCAAATGGCTTACCAGTTTTCGGAACAGGTGAAAAAACTGCTGAAATATGCCAGGCAGCCCTGCAGTTGTGACACCTGCATTTTGGAAGAGGGCTCAGCCTGGTTCGAAGAGAGGTTCAACATCACTATGCAACCCTTCTTAACCAATCAAAATGCCTTCCTGCCCCAGGAGACCTACAGGTGGTGGCTGGTGAGTAGGAAGGAGAGGAGGGAGAAGGGGAGGTTGAAATGCAACTCTTCGGGCCCTGGGATGGACTACAGGTCACCCCCCCAACTTAACCACGATTTATTTAGTGACTGTTTGAAGTACAATGGCCCAGTGGGTTGACTAAACAACTATGTAGCAAAAAAAAAAAAAGGTTGTAAACGTAGACACAACTTGCTTAACAAGGATCTTGCTTAGCCTTGGAAATGTTGGGCTTAATTGGGGTCATAAGTCAAGGACTAACCTGTAAACAATCCCACTGCACCAGGATGGGAAAAGATTCCCATCCTTGTCCAACAGTTTAATCACTAGCACATCAGTGCTAGAAAGGACTGGAGTTGGCTTTCTGTTCATATACAAGTGTCGATTGCTGGCAAGGAGGTGTTGTGGCCTTTTAGTTTTTTGATTGTCTCTTCGGAATGATAATGCAGATGTTCTTTTTATCTCTATGTGCCTGTTAATGGCTGATTTGTCTACATCAGGGGTGTCAAACTCAAGGCCCGGGTGCCTCTGCCACAGAAAACGGAGTTCGGAAGGGCCACGCGCAACTCTTCCTGAGCTCCATTTTCGGCTGCGATAGCCGGCCCTCCCATGCTCCATTTTTGCCGGCAGAGTGCTCGGGCCACCATAAGAGCCCCCGACATGAGTGACATTGAGCTGACCACGCTCACCCTGGCCACGCCCACCTGGCTTCTCAAGGTCTAACACAACCCGGATGCAGCCCTCAATGAAATCGAGTTTGATATCCCTGGTCTACATTAACACCAAGATTAATACTAGACCAACACTCAAGTAAAGAATTGTGTAAGCCGCCTTTAGTCATTTGATTGAACGGGTGGGCAGCCATACAAAAATAAATGAATGAATGAATGAATGAATGAATGAATGAATGAATGAATGAATAGTACCCCAATCAAGGAACTACCAGGTCAGACAAACAATCAAACAGTAATGAAGGAACCATTAATGAGAAGGCCCACCAACAATGAGAGGGCAAGCCATTTGTGCATAAACAGAGAGCAAACCACACTCCATTCTAGCATTGATATTGTTATCTGGTTGGGTCATGAAATGACTGCAAGGAAACACCCATGCTCAGAGAACACTAAGCAGTGGTGGTATGCTACCTGTTGAGGTAATTCCCCGTTAGGAGAATGAGCGCATACAGGGAGACGTATAGAGAATAGTGTTTGAATAAAACACACACAGCATACAGATACACTGTACAGTAAATGTAGGGTTTTACTTCCAGAAAGGTTTAAGCAAAGTCCAAAATAGGCAGTCCAAAGTCATTCACAGGTAAATCAGTCAGTTTTTCAATCCAGGGATAATTCAGTAACAAAGTCCAGTGTCAAAAACAATTCAGTATCAGACTTACATTAAATCCAGAAATATTAGTCAATTAGGAAAAATGGAGGAATGGCAATACTTTCCAACAGAAGGAAACAGAGAGACTCACTCAGACACACTCTCTTCTGAGACTAAGACTAAACAACCCAGGTTTCTGGCTCCATCTTACGGCCGTTTGAGAAACCACACCTAATTACAGTTTTGCATTTTCTTAAAGAGACAGTTTTAAAATGTTTATCCTGGTTTATATATATTTCTAACCCAAATAGCTGTTAGGTGACCCATATTCCTAACACTGCCAGTTCAGACTGGTTCAACCGAACTGGTAGTAAAAAAAAAAGCCTCCCACGATCAGCTGAGAAGACAATCAGCTGAGAGGAGAAAGAAGAGAAAACCAAGCATAGGATTGGCCCTCCCACCCACTTCTGCGCTTTTCTCTTCTTTCAGCTGATTGGCACTGCAGGCCTCAGCGGGTGTGGGGAAATCTGTGCACGCATGTTAGGTGCGCATGCATCACCAAACCAGTAGTGGAACAGGTAGGATCCCACTGCTGGCACTAAGGACTCCACATGTCCAATCCTGAGGTATAAATATTAATTTCTAGTGGCACTCTATTCACTAGTTTTATGACATTTTGCCCAAGAAGCATTGCATTGTTCCTTATTTACTTGCTCTTATTGGAAAGACAAGAGGTGCATGTCTTTGTATTGTCCAAAATGAGTTGGCATCTATGGTGATACCCCACTTCTTAACTAATCTGTCCTTGAAAAGTTTCTGGCAGGCAGAGCTCTCAAACATTCGGGGATGCTTATTAAATTGATCCAGATAAGCAAAAAGCTTCCCAACCCTCTCACAGGATCAATACCACTGAAGGCAGAGACCCAGTCTTTATGGTCTTTAGTTTGACCTGCTGATTCAGTTCTGATTTTCAATTATAATTAGGTTTGAGGGGAAGAAAACACCCAATAACTTCCGAAAACATGTTTGCTTATAAATAAATCATTGCAAGAAACTGAGAAAGCAAAGTGGGAAGTAACAGCCAGAACTTGGACACTGTATATTCAAGAAAAATGCTGGTTTTATTCTATCGTGTTTTGGGCAAATGATGTTAAAGTATATTTAATAATCTGTATATACCATTGTGGCTAAAAGTCTGTAGAGATTCTCAGTCATCCAGGTCATGGTTGTCCCAAAGGTGCTTTCTTTTTTTCAGGAGGCAACTGGAATTCCTTGTTTGTTTGTTTTTGAAGATGTTTTGCTTCTCATCCAAGAAGCTTCTTCAGCTCTGACAGGATAGTGGGGAATGGAAGGATTTACGTTCCTTGCAGACAACTGGTTATTTGCATCCTTTTAGAGCAGGGGTCTTCAAACTCCTCCAGTCATGTTAACTCGGGAATTCTGGGAGTTGAAGTCCCCAAGTCTTAAACTTGCCAAGTTTAAAGACCCTTGTTTTAAAGGACTTCAACTCCCAGAATTCCCCAGCCACCTTTGCTGGCTGAGGAATTCTGGAAGTTGAAGTCCGCCAGACTTAAAGTTGCCAAGGTTGGAGACCTCTGTTTTGGATGGTCATTAAGCACTTAGAGGTTTATCTGTGTCTTCAGAGTCACCTGAGTAGTGCTATATAAATCCTTCCATCCCCCACTGTCCTGTCAGAGCTGAAGAAGCTTCTTGGGTGAGAAGTGAAACATCTTCAAAAGAAAAAGAAAAAAACAAGAAAGTCCAGTTGCCTCCTGAAAAAGCACTTTTGGGACAATCGTTGTGGCTAAGTTCATAATGACCTAAACCAAACAAATCATGGCTTAAACCAGATTTATAGTGGAAAGACACGGTTTTGTAAATTTCAGTGAAACCATTAACATGATTCATTAGCTGAAAGCTTGGGTTGTAATTATGATGGGTTCCATGAACGGGATACAGAGGGCTCTGTGGCAAAGGTTGGGCCATGTTGAGGTACGGAAAAGGGAGTAGGGAGTACAGGTTTTAGATTCACTCCAATGATACCCCAGATGAGCACCGTAAGTAGAATGCTACTCTACCTATAAAAGAGGGCAGAAATAATCTTAAGGATGTTGTACATGGCAGGTTGAGTTTCTAGGGATACAGAGAGGTAGATGACCAACAAATGCCATGTTCTTATGCGGGGGACTCCAAACTTGGCAATTTTAAGACTTGTAGAATTCAACTCCCAGAATTCCCCAAGCCAGCATGGTTGGCTGAGGAATTCTGGTTGTTGAAGCTCACAAGTCTTAAAAGTTGCCAAATTTGGAGACACCCTGGTCTTACGGATCGTATGAGCATAGCTCATCTAAGTCAGAAGTCTTTATGAAGAGCTTAGCCTTTGTCACAGGATGCCTTCTGACTTCTGGGTCTTCAAACTATTCAGAATGTCGGAGTGACTCCCCCCAATCTTCCCTACAGAAACTCCAGGGAGAGAGAAGTCCCAAGACCATGAATGAGACTGTCCAGGACCTCTTTAGACTCATTCCAGGAAACTGGGATCACTTGTTGGGCAGGAACAGCTCACGGTGTCGGAGGTGTGCTGTTATAGGAAATTCAGGGAATCTTCGGCAATCACAGTACGGCCAAGAGATTGATGCTCATGACCTTGTGTTTAGGTAAGTACCATGTTTTCCCCAAAACAAGACCCTGTCTTATATTTTTTGCCACCAAAAAAGGCACACCAGGTCTTATTTTCGGGAGGAGGTCAGCCACTGACTAACCTCACTTGCGTGCATTGCCCCCGGCCTCCTTTTTGCTGTCAGAGGCCTTCAGGAACTTCTCCTGCAGCCAGTAAGGCTTTTCTGAAGGCCTCTGCAACCGATAACAGAGCTCCGGATCGATCCAGAGCTTTGTTATCAGCTGCAGAGGCCTTCAGGAAAGCCTTGCCAGCCTTGCCGGCTGCAGAAGAAATGGACTGGCAAGGCAGGTGTCGGGGTGTGTGAGGCCTGGCTACAACTGTCCAAAGTTAAATAGTAGGGCAGCTCCACCACCCCCATCTCCACCCTAGCTTAATTTCTGGAGTGGACAGGATCTTCATTAGGGCTTATTTTGGGGGGTAGGGCTTATATTGGGCGCATGTGTAAAAATCAAGTTAGGACTTACTTTCGGGGTAGGTCATATTTTTGGGGAAACAGGATAACTACAAGGCCCTGGGTTCAAGTAATTTCTCCTGGAGAGAGGCGGGGAAGGGCTGGCCCAAAATCACCTCACAAATCTGAAAGATAAGATGGAGAGAGAGAGAGAGAAGGAGAGGAGGGAGAAGGAGAGAGAGAGAGAGAGAAGGAGAGGGGGGACTGGTCCAAAATCACCTCATTTCATAGCTAAAGGTGGATTGGAACCTGAGTAATCCTAGTCCAACACCCAAAGGGAGAGAGAGAAAGGGAGAGAGAAAGGGAAAAAGAGAGGGAGAAAAAGAGAGAAAGAGAAAGAGAGAGAGAGAGAGAAAGATTTGTCTAATCCCCGATGAATAATGTTTTTCTTCACATCGCAGGGACACAACATGCCTTCTGTACAAAGAATTCTGCTTCATCACTATTGTTCTCCTTTTATTTGAACAAGTTACAGCAGCTTATAGGAAATGACCTTGTCTAACTACAGCTCCAAATGAGAGCCACATCCTTGAGTTTCAAATCAAGAGACATGCATAGACATTGACTTACGATTATTTGTTTAGTGACTGTTCAAAGTTTCAGCTGCACTGCTGGCTATGTCTGCTGACTGCCAGCTGCCAGCAGTTCGATTCTCACCAGGTTCACGGTGGACTTAGTCTTCCATCCTTCCGAAGTGGGTAAAATGAGGACTCAGATTGTTGGGGGCAGGAGGCTGACTCTGCAAACCACTTAGAGAGGACTGTAAAATACTATGAAACAGTATGTAAGTCTAAGTGCTATTGCTATTGCTACAGTGGCATTGAAAAAAGTGACTTTTGACTGTTTTCCACACTTTAAGACCCCTGGATAGCATCTCCCTGATTTTATTTATTTATTAAAAAATTATATTGTCGCCTACTCACATATGGTGATTCAAGGTGACTTACTAAGATGTAAAAACATCATATAAACTATAAAGGAAATAAATAAAAACAAAATAATAAAATAACAATCCTCCATACACACACACCCTGGCGACAGCACATATTCATACTAACCATTTAATGGGCTCCATCCCGCTCTGGGTTCCCCAGGCCTGCTGGCAGAACCAGGTTTTCAGGGCCTTTCAGAAGAATGCTAGAGTGGTGGCCAGTCTAATCTCTGAGGGAATGATGCTCTAGAGACAGGGAGCCACCATAGAGAAGGCCCTTCTTCTGGATCCCACCAGGTGTACCTCCCTAGAGGATGGGACCCGTAACATTCCTTGCCTTCCCACTTTAGTGGGTCAAGTAGATGTGACTGGCAAGAGACGGTCGCCTCAGATAACCCCGTTCCAAGCCATGAAGGGCTTTAAAGGTGACAACCAGCACCTTGAATTGCACCCAGAAGCAAATTGACAACCAATGCAGCTCCCACAGCACAGGTAATACATGTGCAGATTTAACAAATTAACAAGAGTTGGAAGGGATCTTGCAGGTCATCTAGTCCAACCCCCTCCCCAAGCAGGAGGCCGAACACCATTTTTGACAAATGGCAGTCAAGTCTTTTCTTTAAGGCCTCCAGTGATGAAGCTCTCACAACTTCTGAAGGCATTGAAGTTCCATTGGTTGATTGTTCTCACTATCTGAACATTTCTAATTTCTTAGGTTGAATCTCTCTTTAATCAGTTTCCATCCATGATTCCTTGTCTGGCCTTCAGGTGCTTTGGAGAATAGCTTGGCCCCTTCCTCCTCTCTGTGGCAGCCCCACAAATATTGGAAGACCACTATCATGTCTCCCCTGCTCCTTCTCTTCACTAGACTAGCCATGCCCAGTTCCTGCAAATGTTCATTGTATGTTTTAGCCTCCGGTCCCCTAATCATTCTGGTTGTTCTTCTCTGCACTCTTTCTAGAGTCTCAACATATTTTTTTTATAGTGTGGTGATCAAAACTGGATGCAGTACTCTAGGTGTGGTCTTACTAAGGCTTTATAGAGTGGTATTAGTACCTTCCTTGATCTTGATTGTATTCCTCTGTAAATGCAATTTAGGATTGCATTGGCTTTTTTGACTGCTGCCATACACTGTTGGCTCATATTTAACTGATTGCACACTAAGATTCCAAGATCCCTCTCACACCAAGATCTCCACAAAAACAATGTGGGCCGCTGCATTTTGCACCAACTGAAGCTTCCAGGTGCTCTTTAGGGGCAGCTCCATGTAGATCAAAGTCCAGACGTTTGGCACCTGAGTCATATTTATGACAGATGGGGTGTCTTGGAGTCACACGATCGCCTTTTGCAAATCTTCTAATCATTCAAGTCAATGGGAAGGCCAGATTCATTTAACAACCATGATTTAACTGACAACTGCAGTGGTCCACTTGGCAACTGTGGCAAGAAAGGTCATAAAATAGGGCAAAATTCACTGAACAGCTATCTTGCTTAACAGAAACGTTGACCTCAATCGTGGCCGTAAGTCAAGGAGTACCTCTTTAGCCAAAATATGAATGTTTCTCTTCTCGTTGACTGATACTTCTTCTCATTCCTCTTCCTTTATTTTTCCCCCCCTTTTCCCTAAAGAATGAACAAAGCCCCAACAAAGGGCTTCGAGTCAGACGTCGGCAACAAAACAACTCATCATTTTGTCTACCCGGAAAGCTATCAAGAACTACGGGAGACGGTCAGCATGATTCTCATCCCCTTCAAAATCTTAGACCTGCGTTGGATCATCAGCGCCCTCACAGATGGCACCATCAGTCAGTAAGTAGATCTGAGGAACAAGAAGACTTGGCCAACCCAAGAACTTGATTCTTCTTCATGTTGAGTTTTTTTTTCCCCTTCAGGTCATTCAGACATCAGAGAATAGAATGGAATAGAATAGCAATAGAACAACAGAACAGAATAGAATAGAATAGAATAGAATAGAATAGAATAGAATAGAATAGAATAGAATAGAATAGAATAGAATAGAATAGAATTCTTTATTGGCCAAGTGTGATTGGACACACAAGGAATTTATCTTGGTGCAAAAGCTCTCAGTGTACATAAAAGAAAAGATACATTCATCAAGAGTCAAGAATCATCGGGTACAACATATAATAACAGTCATACGGTACAATAAACAATCTAATCATACTAGGAAACAGTCAATATAAATCATAAGAATACAAGCAACAAAGTTACAGTCATACAATCACAAGTGGGAGGGGACGGGTGATAAGAAGTGATGAGAAGATTAATAGTAATAGTAGTACAGACTTTGTAAATAGTTGGACAGTGTTGAGGGAATTAGTTGGTTAGCAGAGTGATGGCATGCGGGGCGGAAACTGTCCTTGTGTCTAGTTGTTCTGGTGTGCAGGGCTCTATAGTGTCGTTTTGAGGGTAGGAGTTGGAACAGTTTATGTCCAGAATGTCAGGGTTCCAGAAATTGTTCAGCTCAATCAGTAACTCTGAGACAGGCATATTCTCAAAGTGCTTTATTAAAACAAAAACTTGGCATATCTGTGAGATTTAGAAACTAAAGGTTCCTCTTAGACCTCCCACAATACTCAATCAACACCCAGCCCTTTTCTCCCACATCATCAATCA